ATACACACACATGCATGTATATATTTAAGAAAATGTGTTATTCATATTATTCATATAATATAGATAATGTATATATATATATATATTTATATATATATATATATATATACAGAATTTAAGCACAAATAATTCTTAAATATATACATGCATGCATAGGTATTTATATATACAACATAATTATATACAGCACACACAAATATATAATGTAAACACAGACTTTTATTTTGGATACGATTAATCGCAATTAATTTTTGCACAGCCCTAATTAAAAACTAATAAAAATAACAACAAAACACAACAGACTTACTAAATCTTTAATTATAAAGTGAAAAGAGAAAATATGAAAATAACAATGTAGGGGTAATGGGTTACAATTAATGCGAGTTATGTACTGTAATCAGATTACTTTTTTCAAGTAACGAGAACACATTACTTTTGAATTCACAGCAAAATATCTGAGTTACTTTTTAAACAAGCAACACAACTTACTTTTTTTCCACATGTATTGTCCAACAGCTCTCCTGTCCTCATGTTGAGAGAAATCAGGTGTTGTGTGCACATGACGGTTATTTTAGTTCTAGACTAGATATGAATATTTACTCATCTCACTTGCTCAAAAACAGATTCAGTATTCTTCAAAATGAATAAAAAATTACTACGCAAACCTAAAATAGTTAAATGTTAAATAGAACAAATATACTTTCTGTATTTTATCTCACTTTATTAACCAACATATTTGCTGATGACCTTCGATGATCAAGTTTAACCACAATAAAAAGCAAAAAGGACTTTAAACATCACATTTGGGTATAATTTTGAGTTTTATTGCTGAAGTAGTGATGAACTTTCTTCTCCTGAGTCTTATTCTTCAGCGATCGTGAACGGCACAGCAAATGTTTGCTTGAGCGGCGCCCTCTACTGCACTGGAGTACATGCATTTCCTTCAGCCTGAGGCTTATTCAGTTCACTTTTGGTGTGAAAGGACCTTTACATTTACCAAAAAATATAACTTTTTTTTTGGTAAAAAGCAAGCCCAGCCCAGGTGAGACAAAGTAACGTATCACATTACTTTCCATTAAAATTGTAATTTAGTATTAATAACTTAAAAATTAATTGCAATATTACAACTTTGGTAAAGAATCCTTAAAAAGTAGAATAGATCAAATCAAATCACGCTTAATTATTCCAATTAACAAATATGTATTCAAAAACACAATGTTCAATATTCGAGAGATATTCGAAAATGTGTCGATGATCAGGAGTGATAGAATATTGTTATTGTAGAGTTATATATAGTTAATGTATACTCGTTGAAGTGTACAGACCAATGTTGGTAAGCTGGACATGGTTTTAGATATTTAAATCCACTACAGGGGGATTTTGATTTGTGAAACTTTTTAAATCTTATAGAAACTAAATCTAATTTAAATCCCCTACATATATGTGCCTGGGAAAGACAGGCATTCACATATGAACAGACAGGTCCGTCTCTGAACAGAGGTGTCTTTCTCAGGCAGGACTGCCACCTCCCTAAAGCCATGTAGATGCAATAAAAATAAATGGCCCCTGACGATGTGTTAATCCACTCTTACAAAGCGTCTCAGGTCTGAATTAAGTTGTCATTTTTTATTGCTACCCTGACACCTGTTTATAATAGGGGGCCTTGGTGACTTATGCCCATGTTATTACAGCCAGCGGTGGGAACAGAGAAAGAACTGATCTGAGATCAGAAATGCAGCGATTGGGCCTAAACAGAGCAGATTTCAGAACAGTGGGAAATGAAGTAGAAAAAAGGAATTAAATCCAAATAAACTCAGCCACACTTTCTTCCAAACAAGATATGCTAATATCTATGTTTTTTTCCCCCCTCTGGTCATCATACTTTTGGCTATAGCGGGAATTGAATGTCTGCACTTTAGATTTAGGTCACACTTTAGATTAGGGTCGCATTCTCATTATTATCTCACTATTGTTTCCATACACTCCTCTTCTTAATAGTTAGTAAGGTAGATGTTAAGTTTAGGTATTGGGTAGAGGACGTAGAAGAGATGTAGAATATAGTCATGCAGAAAAAGGTATTAATATGTGCTTTATAAGCACTAATAAAAAGCAAAAATCATACTAATATGTATGCTAATAACCTAGTTAATACCCTAAACTAAAGTTTTACCGAAAGTTGTTCCCTCTCTGCTCACTCATGTAAACGGGTTATTCCCAATGTTTCAGAAACCCGAATAGTGACCTAAACCCGGCCATAACCCGAAAATTGGCTGCATGTAAACGTAGTCAATGTTTTTCAACATAATCAGCCCATATCTTAAAATGTAACGTTGCGACTTCTGACTCATTTCGCCAGAGCGGGTTACAAATGAAGAGCTCTTTTCCAAAACGCTATAAATCCATTTCAATGGTTTTCAGGAAAAATACATTTTTTACCTAGAGACCCACACATTTTGTGAATATTCAAATTATCCTGTTGAAATGTTTTATTGGTTCAGTCTAAACATTTTGAACAATAATTATTAAATCAAACAACAATATTGTTAATGCTAATTTAAAAGTTAATTTTATTTTTTTCCAAAACGCTATAAATCCATCCATTTTTTGTATCATTTTTAGTAAAGTCATTTTTAGTAAAGTGTCAAACCTCAAACAAATAGTACCAATTTCAACATATGCATGAAAAAAACGAATTATAAAAAATGATCAATTTATGATAACGATATTCAAAAAAGGGATGGGCACCCCACCAGCTCATGCACACACACAGGCTACATAACATGTGAGCAAAGCGGAGCAGCATGATGCTTAAATATAAGTTAAAAAAAAAAAATAAATAAAAAATAAACATAAAATATACGTTTCACATTTGTTTTTAATAATATTACATTACTTATTTTTATTATTTCATATATGTTGAGTAGGCTATGAAAAGGGAACCGCATGAGATGAGTAAGATAGGATCAAAATTCAAAAGCTGTCCAATATCAGAAAATATTTGGAGTGCGTCAGACATGATTTTGACCAATTATTAAGTTATGTTTTGTAGAAAGCTTGTAAATTTCGTTTCATATAAATTGTATCTTCATTTTAATAATTGTTTCATCAACAAATTGACTGGATTAATACATTAGAAGTAAATATCAGACAATATAATCAGGACACAGAGGCGCGCAGGTGAACCGGAGCGCGTCTCATAATATGAACCGAAACACCGCGATGCTTGCCTCACACAGGCCTGAGAACTAGGCTACAGAAAGCTTTAAATATCTACTTTTAAACAAAACAATTAAAAACTAAAATAAATTGGCAACTCTCTGCGTATGTAGGCTAATTCGAAGTATGCGTTTCTCTCTATAGGCCTATATGCGCGTTCACTGCGAAGATGGCGAGTAAGCATCATCAACTTTATCTTTGCTGCTGACACTGACAGAAAACACTAGTTTATTAATAAACAATTCAAATGTTTCATGCATAATCATTACTTTTGCCGGTTCTTTGTGGCAAGCTTTATGCATACGTTGAGATGCGGAATACGCAATTAAAAACGCTCATATGGTTTCTCTCCCATTTAATTAAATCAATATATGTGATTATTACTGATAATACAAATGGCTTAAACGATCTACTACTAGTTGACTGGAAAACTAGGACTCATTTTGAGGAATAAATGAACATAATAAACCTCTGTTCAGAGTGCCGCCGTGCTGGATTGTGTAGAGCGCTCATTGAATTTGAGGATTTATAGCGTTTAGGCTAAAAACAGGGCTGGCGCTCATCGCGGTTTGGAAAGAAACTGTATCTTGCAGTACATTTTAAACAAGGAAATATAGCGATTTGGCATGAAACGTTGATGGAGCAGTGAAAGGGTTCTGTCCACAGCAGAATGACACGACAAACTCATTTTTTTTTTTAAATGGCGTTTATCTCGTTTTGGAAAAGAGCTCTTCAAATGTATACAGTAACAATGCATCACTTTCAACCTCTTGTTGAAACAACTGTCAAAATGGATGGCTTGCAACATGACAGTTCTGAAAGAATAACAGTAGCAATGGTAAGATCACACAACTGGTTGTCTGCAACTTCATACATCATCTGTCTCGGAAATCTGAAACAATAAAACTACATAATGCAGCTTATAGCAAAACAGATGCATCCTATATAAGCACGTCAAAACATACATTATCATCAGCTGAATGTGTGGTGGACAGGACATGAAAATCCATCAATACTAAAAATAAATGTTTATGTGCACATGTGGACGAAACAGCAGTTAATAAACTATTGTTTCAACTGATCTTGAACTTCTTTAACTTAGATAAATAGAAATGAACCCATCAACTGCTCTTACCTCTGCTTAGCCATGAACTCACTGTAGTCGAAAGCTGATGACGTAACATGGCCGCCCCCCTCATGCAATACTGCTTGGTCAATTGAAAGGCTTGAATATGATTGGCTAAAGAGTAGACTGCTCTGTGTAGTAGGAGAGCGCTTCCAGGAAAGTCTCAAACACACACACGTGAATGACGATTTGCACATTCACGTTCAAGGAAAAACTCATATATTTGAAACATTCAAAGGTTTTTGTGCACGGTTGTATCTCTAAGAATTGTGTTTTGCATTTATGAAATGTATTTTATGAATATACAAATTTATTTCACGCATGTCAATTTTTTTTTCTGTGTGTACATGAAATAGGTTTCATGCATGTGAAATTTTCTACACATGTGGGAATCATTTTTCTGCATGAAATATTAAGGAGATTGTTTTGGCACTATAACACAGAAACGGCATTTCCAAATCTATCTACTATGGAGAGCGTTTTCAAAAAGCCGTCTCAGTGTGGACGGAAGGCCAAAACGGAGAGAGAACGATGCATTTTCAAACGAAAACATGTTAGAGTGGTCAAGACCTAGAGTGGTCACTTGCAATATATGACATTATTCATGTAATATGCATGGGAAATTATGTATGGCATTCAAGGAAGAATTGCAAGCATCTGCACAACAAAAATTTGTATATTGTTTGACATTGACACAGGTTTAATAACTAATGAAATGATAATGAACACAAAAAACAATTATTCAAAGCAGTTGCTTGGAAATGGTACTACATTTGAAGGATTTTTGTGGGCTATTTTAAAACTGTTTTACACTCTTGATTGTGTCATACTTAGACAAAATACATTTATTTTGGTCTTGCCAAGCTTTGATAATTTTATTTTAAATTTATGATTTTTATTCATTTTGTATAATATGGTTTTGTTTATTCACAGATTCAATTGTAACTGAAACTTCACATAGTAAAAAGAAGGTGTCCACTGAAGGTGTTTCTTCTGTTCCCATCTGTGTAGACACGACGGTTCGCCCAGAGCTGAATATTTATCCGGTCCCCTGCTTCCAGCAGAAGGGAGACAGCATTGGATGCAGTGTCCTCGGTGTCTATCGAGGGAGCGTTATCTGTTGCTGCGACCACATGTTTGCCATTCTTTACCAAGTTCGCTCCGGTCGGCATGGCGTTGGGATTGAAGAGCACAAAGTTGAAGTAATACACTCCTTTTACTGGTGCAGTGAAGATTCCTGTTGATAACAGTAGAAATGTGGGTTCTTAAAATAGTTTATAAATGACCTGATCAAATTTTGTAGCATTATGTTAAGAATTTCTTAGAGGAATATCATGATACCTGTATATGTGTCGTAGGCATTTCCAATGTTAGTTAATACATTTTCATACACAAGAGTGACTGCATCTGAATAAGGGCCAATGACTTTGTAGCCATTCTCTAAAGCTGACAGCGTGGCTGAAAATGCTACTTTCACTGTTTCTGGGAGGAAAAAAAGAGGGGAGAAGAACATGAACAGGCAAGCGAAAAGAAATGACCTTCAGATATCTTTTAATTTTGTTAATGTAATGCTATTTCTTGTTGAAACTTGTTTCAGGGCCCTAAACGTCAAAAATAAATGCAAATAGACTTAATTGTTTATTATTTAGCCGAAACGGTTGTCTTTTCCTCAAACCTTTTCAGCTTTGTAGTCTGTGCTGCATAGGTGACAAAAACACTTAAAAACAATGTTCAGTGCATACATGAACAGAAATATAGCACCATAAATATAGATTTGCCTTCTTAACCTTTGACAACCTAGTAGTTTAGACAGACTGCATCACAATATGAGCAATATGGTGTTATAAATAATATGCTAATTACTGCATTTAATTTTATGCTGAGACATTCGTGTAAAGTATCTAGCATTCGATCATGTTACCTTTGTTTTCTGTTCTGAGTCGCTCCATTTCAATCTCCATAGATTTCATTTTTGTTTCCATGGTCTTTATTTTCCCCAGTTCTTCAAGGATGTTTATGTTTGACGAAAATACATCATCTGCAGATATAGCCCACACATTGAGAATTAAAACTGTTACAAAAATCAACATCATTGTGCTCTTGGTTACTAGCAATGCACTGAATCAACTGAATTATCATTCTCTTATAGTCTTAAAAACAAGTTACATAATTGTCTAAATTGTCCAATAGGCTTTGGACTCCAAAAAACATCCCTCTTTACAAATCTAACCTTTGTTCGTAGCAACACATTATGCAATAGCTGCACGTCATTTAAGAAGTATTACATTATTATTGTAATGAAATGTAAAGAAAAAATGTAAGAAAAAATTCACGTGAGTGAAAAAAAATATTCACAAAAAGAAATTCACGTGCGTGAAATAAAATTGTATATTCATAAAATACATTTCACAAATGCAAAACACAATTCGTAGACAAACAATTGTGCACAAAAACCTTTGAATGTTTGAAACGTATGAGTTTATCCTTGAATGTGAATGTGTAAATCATCAGTCCCGTGTGTGTGTGTTTGAGACTATTCTGGCAGAGCAGTCATACTCTTTAGTCAATCAGATTTAAGCTTATCAATCGACCAATCAGTATCACGTGAAGGAGGGCCTATACCTGCATGTTACTTCATCAGCTTTCAACTACAGTAGGTGTTTCTCAATGTCAAGGATACTTCCTTGGCAGGACAGGTCCTTCCAAGTCATTTCCTTCAGAGGCTAGGCAAGGGTCCTCTTTAGCATTCGGAGAACACGTAAATGGAACAGGCTAGCAAGTGCACGTCATTGCGTGCAAAAGTTGGGCCAATCTTTTCTGCCAAACAGAAAGCAGTGATAGTGCTAAAAGCAACATGACATCATGACTTTTGCTTAAACATACACGGCACTTTCAAATCAAGTGGCGTGTTATCTTTATGCATTTTGAGTTATGCGTGTATGTCTCTGCCGTTAAACGAAGCGAAACGAAGCAAAATGTAGATCTACATCTGGGGAGCGATGTTTTTTTCGTAGGATGGTAGGGGAAGACTCATAAATGGTATTAACCATGGTGACGGGTAGGTTTTGGTACGGGGTTGGGCTAGGTCATATTTATATACAGTAATGTAACATTAAGTCAATGGCGTTCATAAACACGCTGAAAAGCTGCGTGTTGGAAATACGAATTGGCGTGTTATACATGCACCATTTCATGAGTCTGTTAAAGCAGAGGTTAGACCTGGCCAAGCAAAGTCACAGTGTGATTCGCATCTCCCGTGGGTGATCGAAGAACGGAGAAATAATCATTGCAAAGCCGGGTAAGTCTTCATTCATCAGTGTTCTTATTTATTTATTTAAACTTTTTATCAGGCTCCCAACAAGCCGTACAATCTACCACACAGCAAGAGTGAACCATCCTCTTCTCTAAATCCTCCTCCAAACGTGCAAAACAATCAAATTACAGGTATCTAGCGGTGTTTCTTGCCACACGATTCCCATGATGCAACGCGACAAACGTAAACAATGACGTCACAAAAGATCCTCCTATATAATTTATTCACAATTTAAATAAGTTTTTTTTTCATCCTACTAAAAGAAATGATGTAAAGTTCATATTTTAGTCACTGGCTTGACTTACTGATGCATAAACAGTATTAAACAAGTTTGAGAGAAAGATTACCTGTCTGAACTTGAACAACAATTACATATCAGAAAGTTTAACGTTACTGGTAGCTCGATCCGAGGCCAGCTTTTGGCCCAAGTTGAGGAAACAGTCGTCGGTGACATGTTTGTTATTTCCACAGAAAATAAAATTAACTCATTGTTTCTCCAGAGGCTCGGATGAAGGAACAGGTGTTCATGTGTACATCCAAACACTGATCAACTGATGTCATTGAACATGGGCTGGCATATGCAAATGTTTGGAGGCATACATATTAATGAACCTGTGTCACAGTCGGTCTTATGTGCAGATTCGCCTATTTTTCAGGGGTTTTTTTTCAAAAACGAGATTTAAGTAAGAAGGATAAAACAATGGTGTTTGAGACTCACTGTATGTCATGTCCATGTACTGAACTCTTGTTATTTAACTATGCCAAAATAAATTCAATTTCACATTCTAGGGCACCTTTAAGTGTGGATGGGGAAAGACCAGCAGGGCCGGGCATAATGGGGCTACCAATAGTAGACTGACCCCGTTCTGGAGAACCCTCTTGAAATGCCTCTGCCAAAAACGAGTCCTCTGCCAAGGTGACAGTGCGCTTTTCTTGGAGTTGAGCCTCAAACCCAAATGCCTTATTTGGATGAAGACGACATCTCAATGTCGAACTAACATGTCCTGAGACTGTGCTAGAATCAACCATTTGTCTAATAGAGCACACAAATGCACTGGAGTCTCAGGCCCCGTCCACACTACTGCGTTTTCGTTTAAAAACGGAGAATTAAAACGAATACGATCTCCGTCCACACTAGCGTTTTACCTGCGTATTAGAATTTATCTCCGTCCACACTAAAACGACTGAAAACGCAGATCACGTGACCATTCACCAACACTGGGTATGCGCGCGCCGGTGTAAACAGTGGTTGGCGAATCAGGGACGGACACGTCATGACTGATGACACCCAATCATAGAGCCGAGCGTGAGCCTCCGCGTCATCGTTTGTAAACTCCTCCGTTTTGTCTCGTCCACACTAAAACGCCCTCCGGAGATTCAAAACGCAAAACGCAGCTGCAGCGTTTCTAAACTTCTCCGTTTTAGGTCTTCGTTTTTCCCATTTTAGTGTGGACGGGAGGTGCAAACGTAGCAAAAGGTCTCCGTTTTTAAACGAAAACGCAGTAGTGTGGACGGGGCCTCAGTGGAGCATTAAATTGGCCAATTGGTTACAATCAATTATGAAAATTCTTTCAGAGTCCAATGTCCAGTATAAGTATTTACCGATCACACATTTTGAATTTGCTCACACACTGAAATATGAGTAAAATGACAGCTATGATAATCAACAGATAGCCACAGATGTGGAACTTAAACATACTGTAAGTAGACTGAAAATAACCCAAAACCTTCCTTTAAACCCTCTTGCATGGTTATAAACACATTTGTAGCATCTACTAGATGGGCAAATTTCAGCTCTTTAACAAGCTTACTGAATTGGTTATTTACTCTTACAAACAATTTTGATGCTTTCAGTGTGTGTTCTTCACATTTTGGCCAGAGCACGTAAACAACTCTCTGGCTCAGAAAGAATCTGTATGATTAATCTGAACGCTTGTGGGATTTGATCTTCTTTAGCTCCACAAGAATCATCATAATTAGCATGTCGTAATATGCTGAACTTTGTCGCTGGATGTGGCAGACTATACTGTGGGAATACAGCATGCTCACCCAAGATTTGAGCCAAGATGTCTGCTGCATTTACAAAAACATATCGATTAGACCGATGGTAATCTAGCAGAGACATCTGTGCTTCCTCAGCTTTCTACCAGCAGAGCATGTTGAGCAGACCACATGTGCCTGGCCCGCCAAAGTTTCTGCTTTCAGTCAAAGAGCAAGTCAGGAGATTCCATTAACAGTTACTAATCAGATCACGTCTAAGTTCCCGTCTAACACCGTTTGATCTCGCATTCATATGATGCCCTGACTTCCTCCCATTGGACGCAGCAATACGTTTGCACACAAAAAACAACTCTAGAATGAAATGGTCTGAACGGCACAACTGGCGTCTGGAACGGAACAGCCGCACCAGCGGGAGGCCTCTCGCAGACTGGAGCATTCATACTTTATATTCTGTATCCGAGCTATTGAAATGAGCTTTTTTTTTGAGGGGATGTGGGAACAAAGATAGCAGAGGCAGCATGAAAAAAATATCATGTTTTTTAAAAAGAAGGAAGCCACGTTTCAATGACCTGACTGTTACCTAACCGACACCACTGCGCTTTCTTCTTCCTGGTACCATCTAAATGCAGGAACTAGCCATCTGCTAATTTCCTGTCTGCCGCCTGTTTGAATTACGCCGGCTCTACTCCCTCCGTTCCATTCCTTTTTGCCCGACTTCCTTGGAAGGGAAAAATAATGTGCAGAATTTGGGGTGGATTGTTGATGGATGCCGTCTTGCAAATCTGGCCCTTTCCAGCCTTGAAAGAATTTGTGCCCCGACTCAAACTGTGCTTTTGTCATGTGTTCTGGATGCATGCATGTTTGCACAATTACAGGAAAAGCTCTACTGCATGATCTACTGTAGCAGCAGATACTTCCAGAGCGCAGGAAACCAGTTTTACTGATAAATCTCTTTAACGATCTATACCTAAAACTTGACGTAACGCAGAAAATCGGAGCCAGCGTCTGGCACAAATGGTAAACTGAATCCACACAAGCTGCCTGTGCAAAATCACACCTTACATTGTTGAAAAGTGAACGAGCTAAACTGCAGTGGGGCCGTTTTCCATGGTTCAAGGGGCAGTGGCACTCAGAGCTCAGTGCAGCTGGTGCTCCTAGGGATCTGCATTACAACAACATGATCGGGGCCTGAGGCACACGGACACCCTTGTTATCTTAATAGGGCCTTTCATGGTCGACTCAGGCCTGGATGAACCAGGTGCCTGCTGATGTTTACACTCTCGTTTCTAAGTATTAAGTGGGGTAGAGAGGGAAAATGAGAGAACAGTAATAAAAAAGCTCATTATTGGACGTGGAACCTTGAGAAAACCCACATACACAGCAGAGGAGATTGTTCGTTTTATAGGAATGGGAAATGTAAGCATTTCAACAATTCAGATTCTATGTTTAACTACACTGACCTATGTTAAATCTGTCTGTAATTACATTGACTCAAGTCAAAGGCAAATAAACAGATGACTCATTGGTCTTTTGATCGATATGAAAATAATCCCAAATCTGACTACACTGCTCACGCTATACAGTATGGTTGTTATGAATTCACCACTGAATAGAGGGAATGCATTGACGTCACTTTCCCGCCGGAACAACCCCCCTCAGCCTGACCGAGTGGCAAAAGATCTGATGCCTGACTGGTTTTAATAGGGGAAACTGCAAAAATGCGATTAAAATGAACAATTTTATCAATTTAAACTAAATGTTGGACTCAATATAGTGTTCCTTACAACTTACTAAAGATCCAGTGATCCATGCAGC